GTCATGCCTCAGTTGCTTCACACGAGAGTTTTCTTTTCTCGTGTGGTGTTGACTGGTTGGTGTCCCACGTTGGCGGACGTGAACGTTCGTCCGTCTCGTACCCATCTCCGTTTCTGTCTCCGTTCCAGGTCTGAGCAGATCATCTGGCTCTCCACCTCCATGCTCTGTGCCGTGGTCAGACTGGTCCAGTCCGCCTCTCTGTTGGACCAACTGGTCCACTTCCTGTTGAGGACGCAGACGGTGACACGCCTGCTGTTGGAGCGCTGCGACCACATCTCAGACCAGGTGAGTCCAGGCCCTGCTGGTCTGCCTGGACACAGACCCCTGTCCGCTGTCCACTGACTGTATCTGAGCCGGTACTTGGTTCAAATACTCTTGTCCCCTTGTCCTTCCTCAGATCAGCATGGCGTCTCTGTCTCTGCTGGAGGAGTTACTACAGAAGCCACACAGGGACATTCTGAACATCCTGGTATTGGACTATCTGCAGAGGCAGACCTATTTGTCTCCACAGTCTTCTGGTGTGGACGACAGAGGCGCTGAAGACAGGGAGGACAGCGAGGACGTCCCAGCACATTATCTACTGTCCACACACGGCCGTCATTGACCTCTGACGCCTGTCATTGTTGTCGTCACCGTGAACTCACCTTTGTCCTCTGACCTCAGTGACCTCGAGGACGACCCCTTCTTCACAGACAACCTCTTCTCCAACACCCAGACCCTTCATCCTCCCCCTTCCCCTCCTCCCCTCTCTGGACCCGGGTCACCGGCTGATGTCATCAACAGGTGACAGAAACCCCTTGACAGTGTCTGGGGTTTAATCATTAAACAGAATTTGGGATAAACATAAGGTGCGGGGGTCCAAAGTGAATTGAGAAGAACTTTAGAATATTGATTTGATTGGAATGCAGTGTGTTACTGTGTGATGAAGTGTGTCATAGGATTTGTGTGCGCGCATGTATGTGTGTGCGCACAGTTTCCTCTGCCTCGTTCCTGTCCAGGTTCGATCGGCTCAGCTGATAAAGGAGGGAGGATACGAGTCATATGTTCATGATGCTCATACATTGGTGAGAACACACTCACAAACACACACGAACACTAGCATGTGTGTAGCTTTGCTAGTGTTTTGTAACTTACTTTATACATATACTGTATATATACACACATATGTATGCAGATATACATATATTTTATATATAAATATATGTATATATATTTATTATATATTTATATATAAATATGTGTATATATGTATGCATACATGTATATATTTATATATAGATGTGTATATATATACATATATAAGCATATGTGGGTGTGAATATATATGTGGATGTCCTGTATATGTACATACTGTATATAAACATATATGTAGTGCTTACTGCGTCTGCTAGAATATTTGTAGTTCATTATTTTTGCAAGAGTCAACCATCACACACACACGTCCGAGGACAACAAAAACATAAGAAACACCAACACATACATTTAATATATTTAGTTTGATGTTCATGTTCGGTGATGTTGACGTGAGGCATCCGTGAGACGTCCCTCTGTCCTCTTGTCAGGTGACCCAGTGTCAGTCGCTCTCTCGATCCTGGGATTGGCCACTCGCTCTTCCTCCTCCTCTGTCCTCATCAGGGTGGGTCACTGAGGGACACACTGGTGTCCTGTCTCTCTTTATATCAGGGGGTGTCATACTCATTCTAACCAGGGGGCCACATCAGCGGGTAGACTGTATAGATATAACTGCTACGTAACATAACAATAAATGTTTCTGCAATTGATAATTTATATAAGTTACAACATTTGTTCAATGCTCTGTGTATTAAAAAAAAATTATCAGGTTGAGAAACTGCGCCGCATGGACTCTATTAAATGTTTTTTTTT